AGTTGGCCACTGACAGAATAGTTCCTAAGTCCATGTACTAACGGCTACAGAGATCCGACCTCTTCACTCCCGAGCCCACGACATCATGCAGGATCATGACACTGCCTCGACGGATAGCGAAGCAGCAGTCAGGAAGATCTGAGCGGCAGTCAGGGTTTAGGGATCCCTAAGCGATGGTCTCACTAGTTTATAAGCATCGGCAGGGCTGTTGTCACAAGACTGGAAACACTCAAAACACGAGGCTCAAACGCCGCAGAGCACAAAACAGCCCACAACGCTCCGATGCTGTGCTCTCGCGCGCTGAAGAGAGCGCACGCACTTGGTGAGCAATAGGGCCACAAGCGAGAGAAACTCTTTCGAAAACGTGTGAGAAGCTCTATCTGGGATTCTGTGTACTCTCTGCACATGTGGAAGTGAGCTACGGAAAAAGAGTGTCGTGGTTGAACCCATGAAATTTAGCGGTGTGGCGGGTGCTGCATGTGTACATATTAGTACACGTCCACCTCTCGCTACGGACTGTGTAGCGCTTGGCAGCTAAAGCCTCATGTGAAAAAGAGTGGCGGCGCTACTACAAGCTATTATTGGAAGGATTGTATAGCAGTTCTGCTGCTCTGCTATAGACTATAAGGTTTCTCAGATGATTCGAGACGGGTTACCTGCAAAGAACCATGTCGGTTGAACCCTGATCTGAGACCCTTAGGCCCTACCTTAAGCCGGAATAACCTACCTTTTTGAGGACTTATATAAGGAAATCATAGTAAGGAGCCCTAAAAAGGTAGGTTTTTCCGGCTTAAGGTAAGTGCAGAGATCGGCTGGCGCCAAAACAAGCCCGGTCCTCCGTACATGTTCGTTTCCGCCTATGGCGGGAACACCAGAAGCGAAAACATATATCCGTAGAACCAACTTCGAATCTAGGGACCAGAAAATTGTCAAGTCCATTCCGTCCATCTATCAGAAGGGCGCAGGAAGGTCTTAACCGAGCCAAGACCGATTTGAGATGCTGACCGTGAAGGCTGTGAGCGCAAGCCTGGGAAATTGTCTGCTTGACCAACACTACCTGTATCCCCAAACCCTACAAAATAGTAGGTTCTGACCCCTTGATTAGAGGGTCTCACCCTTACAGCAGTAGGGCTTTTGGATCGCCAGGTATAGATATGTCATTTATCAAGGTGCTGCAAGGATCGATCCTAAGGATCCTGTACGTGTCCTACGCTCAGGAGGGGTTTCCTCAAACCTGCTAAGTGGGTAAATCGTCCCAGAAAATCGTGTCACTATGAGGGTGGTTGTCAAAATTATGGCGCTATGAGAATGCGGCACCTAATATTTACCCATAGGCCCTTAAGTAGTTCCTTTTGGGGATTGCCTTATAGAATTCTGTATATGAACCCCAAAAAGGAACTACTTTGGGGCCTCTGGGTAGGGCACCCAAAAAGGAACCGTAATCTTGCCAACTACCAATGAAGCTCCCGGTCTGATGTAGTGCTGCGGTTTAGGGTTTAGGGTTTTAGGGTTTAGGGTTTAGGAGTTTAGGGGTTTAGGGTTTAGGGGTTTAGGGTTAAGGGTTTAGGGGTTCAGGGTTTAGGGGTTTAGAGGTTTAGGGTCGCACGGAAGTCGCAGTGTGTTTACATCAGACACATGTGTGTAAGTAGATCTGTATACTTATCTAAGATGTGTGTTATATGTATATATGCATACACATGTGTGTGAAGACAAATGAAAAGACAGACAGACAGACAGACAGACAAACAGACAGGCAGAAAGATAGGCCGATCATGGTCGATATCTTGTGCCAATGAGCCTCGTCACAGTGCGGGATGCTTCCAGGAATAGCAGTATACAGTAGCAGTGGCACATGTGACCTTTGGTCCTCACTCGGCCCCAGAATTTTTAGCGGGCGTGATCCTTACTGCAAAAACCTAGGACCCAAAGCCTCGAAACCAAATAGCAGAAACTCGAGTCCCGAAATCGTGCCTCCCAGTCACTCAAGGAATTACTGATGCTGTGAAGCTCTAAGCACCGAGAAAAGGCGAAGATTTCGATGACAAGTGCTTCTGCGTGGTGTGCAACTTCTACTCAAACCCAAACTCTCAAGAGCCAAAGTTCGAAACCATAAGCCCAGGATACAGACCTTCTAAACGCGATGTATGTAGACCCAAGCCGTAACCGTAAACACCGGAGCATGTTTTTGTCGGCGCTTGGCTGTTTACACTGGGAGTGCATGTCCGAAGATGCTGCTCGCACGAGACCAACATACCAAGAGTCTAAACCAATCAAGTCCACCAAATCGAATCTCTACACTCATCGACCATCCAAAAGCCCAATGTACGAAGCCTGCAGATGTCCGCAAACTATCGAGTTTCCAAAGGGTTTTTCACAGGGTTGATCTAAGGGTTCATGTGCCTGTGTAGTATATGGTTCGTAAAAAATGGGTTCTTTCGGGTCTGTACGTCTGATGCCCTGATCCCGAAAAGCTCATCCACCCTAAATCCGATCGGAACGACTTACCTTAACCCCACTGAAGCGGCCTTCATAACAGGACTTAGAATGGAAATCATCATCATAAGAAAAGGAATCCTAAACACACAGGATTTTAGAGGGCTCAGGTAAAACATGCTATTTCTCCAACCCTAAACCCGAAACCACCAATCTCGAAGAGCTAACTGCTCACGCATGAAATTCATTCAAACTTCCCCCCCACCCGACCCAAAATCCATCCTAAACCCTCAAACCCTAAAACCTGAACCCCAAGCCCTAAAACACCCAAGAACCCTCCGAGCGCGCTGCCGCACGAAGGCGTTCATCGTAGTTGCACGAAACTTCTTGGAAGACCTCACTCGCGAGCTCGGAGTGTTCAAAAATGGGATCCCTTGTTAGGATTTAGGGTTTAATTCGGGTTTAGGCCCTAAACATCTGACCGAAGCCCAAATCCACAAACCGAATGAACTAGAAAGCCAGAGTTGAGCGACCGATCTTTTTGAGCTCGCAGACATGGCCTCCAACAAATGAACGGTCTTAAAGCAAGCCTTCCTCTTTGGCAGCTCCGGGCAGCGGCATTAGGGCTTCTTTGTTCACTGGTTTTGCTCAAAAGCCCCTGCATTTGAATCGACAAATAATGCAGCCACAGGACTCTTCTGCAGTCTTTACTCAGGCTTCCAGGTGTAGGGGTGAAGACTGATATTTGGGGCCAAAATAAGTAGAGCAGGGTATTGAGTTACATTAGAGTGAGCTAAATTGGAGTATAATAACACTAAAAGAAACCCGGGGAGTCATAGTAGTGATTACTTAAGCCCCAACATTTCCCCTTTACATGACTGCAATGGCAAGCCAAACCCTAAACCCTAAACCCTAAACCGTGGAACACCAAGGAGGAAGTCTTGAATTGCATGGGACCGGTACAGAAACCTCCGCAACGGGAGCCACACCGAAACCTTCGCAACGCCAAGAGGCGAGCAGAGCCTTTAGGGCATTTTCGGGTTTTTAGGGCCTTCAGGGTTTAGGGTTTAGGGTTTAGGGTTTCAGGGTTTCGGATTTATTGTTCTGGGACCAGGATCTTGGCTCACCTGGACCCCAAAAATATGTAGAATAATGGCCTTTTATAGGTTTTGGGCCATTATTTTACCTACTTTTGGGGATCTTGGCTTAGGGTTTACCTGTAGCCGAAAAGACCTATCTAAATACCTTCTTAAGGAACTATAAATAAAGACCATAATCAGGAACCCCAAAAAAGTAGGTCTTTCCGGCTACAGGTAGGGATTTCAGGTTTCTTGCTAGGATTGGCGGCTCAGGAGTCTGGGATGTCAGAACTGGAACAAGTCACGGCTTTTGTGCTCAGGGTTTAGAGTTTTAGGGTTTAAGGTTTAGAGTTTTAGTGCTTAGGGTTGAAAAGCTTGAGGGTTTAGGGTTTAGAGCTGTAGGGTTTACGGTTTAGAGCTTTAGGGTTTAGGGTTTAGGTCAGGCTGGGACGCCGCCCTTGGCAACATTGACATCCCACGTTCGTGGGCTGCACTGTGCCTGTCGAGGAGGACCCGAAGTAAAACCCAATCAACACCTTGCATTCATGGGACGATACTAAGCATCATATTCACGGAATCACCATATGCGTTGCAAGTAGCATAATACGTTGCAATGCCTGCTTTACAATGCGAATTTGGCGGGGATGCTTTGAAGCTCCACGGTATCCTTTCCTTGGCACTGCTCCTTTCCTGGGACAGATAAGGTTCGACAGATAGAAGCTACCTCCATTACCTACAAAACATTAGGAAGAGGCAGAGAGTTAACGCATCATGTTGTTGTGCGATGCTAGTTGGTTAGACTGAAACGGATGTTTGAGAGACTGCAATCTACTTGGAAAGCCAGCATGGGAACCCATGTCTCCTCGACAAGGCTGCAGAAGAAAACGTTATCAGCCACCGCGGCAAGACGGGAGGTCTCGTGCTCTCTTCTCTCTCTCTTCTCTGCACATGTTGGTCAAAAGCTGAATAAACCGTGAACCTAAAACACCTAACTATGGGTTTCAGAGTAATTATGGGAACAGCTAAGATCACATCCGTACAGGATATTTTATTAGCATAGCGCCTGTCCGCCAACATGACAAAGCCAAAGCAGCCTTAAAATGCAAAACGATGCATCCAGAAAGCTACAGGTGCTCCGGTGAAAGCAGACTGCTTAAGGCATCTGGGCGCTATAGCGGCATGAAAGTCTTGCAGTACCCTGTAGAACCTTCACATAGAAACCTGAAAGAGCCGTTTTACAACCGAGGAAAATTCCCAAACTTGGAGATCGTCGAGTCTCGTGGACACTCTGGAAATCATGTAAGGCCCTAACTCTCAACCTAATCTAGAGCCTGAGGAAAAGTAGAATGTGGATTCGGGGTATATGATAGTATATGATGGTACACTTTGAATAAGGAAGAAGGAACCTTAAGCAGTAGCATTACTACTCAAACGGCTTGTAAGGGTCGTTGTCATGGGTTAATCCTTTGTGGTACAGGAAAGAGACTGTCAGACCCTCGTCTCGCCCTTCTCCATCTCTTCGAACTTCTTTTCTTCGGACACATCCTCGAAGTTCTCCTCCTTTGAGCTTGTGGTGTCTTCCGGACCACACACCCTAAACACTCAAACCCCTAAATCTAGGCTTTCTGGGCATGCACGGTGAAGGAACCTTGACGCATGAGGTTCTGCAGGCTTACTCTGTATAGAATATAGGAATTTCAGACTTGTGGTGCTGTGTTGCTAGCCGGCCTGGTGTTGGTGCTCGCTCAAGCTTGGCGTTTAAGCTGTCTGGGTTCTCATCCAACCCTCAGAACAAACAGATACCGTTTTGTCTCTGTACTGTGGGACCATAATTGCTACAACAGGGTTTTGGGGAACATTATACTTACTGTACCTATATATGGACGATAAGCGGGTACTACTTATTATCAGTTATCATTACCAAGACTTCTGACCGGGGAATCTGTCTTTTTTCCTGTGGCTGTCCTGCAGCGCTCGTTGTGGCTGTTTGTTAAGCTTTGAATGAAGATAGGACCCTCCCTAAACCCCAAAACCTAAACTGAACCCTAAATCAAACCTAACCCTAACCCCTGAACTAACCCTGAATTCTACACCTATAAATCTATAAACTCTGAACCCTTCACCTAAAGCATAATTTCTGAACCTAAACCGTAAACCCTAAACCCTCTTTGGGGCCCTTACTTCTCAAACTCTTAGGGGGCTCCTTCTCGTCGAACTGCTCCTTCTCCTCCTCTTCCTCGACCTCTTCCATGCTCGACATCTGCCTCTCACTTTATAGGGAACTCCAGAAAGTTGGAATATGGTTTCATGGTAGGATCCCCTATAATTTACCATAGAAGGGTTAGGATAATCATATTCCAACTTTCTGGCTTCTACTGTAGGTTTAGGGCTTAGGTTCAGGATTTAGGGCTTAGGGTTTCAGGTAAGTTTCGGGCTTAGGGTTTAGGGCTTGGGTTCAGGGCTTAGGGTTTAGGGCTTACGGTCTCGGGTGTACGGCTTAGGGTTTAAGGCTTGCAGGGTCTAGGGTTCAGGGTTTAGGGCTGTCACTGTAGGGTTTAGGGAGGTCGGGTTGACGATGTCTCTTTAACGATGCAATATGACATGGGGTCTTGTTTGCCGAACAACCTGGTCCTCGCTGAGGCACTTTAATGGAAGCATACAACAAGACAATCGTCTGGAACACTATACAGCACATATCCTGTAGAGCCCGATAAGGCCCCTTTCGTTTTCAGTCGAAAACCAGCTTACAAACTACACACCTTCAATTTTGAATTCGTTCTGGGAGGATCCGAAACCTAGACCCCTTAAGGAGGCCCCTGCAAAGACCCTGGAGTAGTATAGGGTCCCAAATCAAGGCCCCTAAACCCCAAACCCCTAAACCTCTCAACCCCTACACTTCTAAACTCCAAACCCCTAAGCCCCTAACCTCCAAACCCCCAAACCCTAAACCTCTGAAGCTCTCAACCCCTAGAAACCCTAAACCGTCCCTCCCCGGGCACGGAACCTGACAGCCAGGGTCTGGCGCATCGTTCGGCGCGTCTGGCGGAGGCTTTCCTGCTTCTGCACCTCCTGAAAAGTCGGGAGTTTGTAGGATTTACCTAGACCCCCAAAAGTAGGTAAAATAATGGCCCAAAACCTATAAAAAGCTATTTTTCTACATACTTTTGGGGTCCAGGTAGGATTTGAGGGTTTAGGGTACTAAGGGTTCAGGGCATGGGGGTTTGTAGGGTTTAGGGCTTAGGTTCAGGAGTATTTGGGATTTCATTGGTGTTTTTGTTTTTTGATTCTTCTTTTCCGTCTGCCCAAAGGATGTTTGGAATGCCAAGTCTGGGGTTTAGTGTTTGATCTGTCAATGTGTTGCGTGCGCGCGTGTTCTTCGAATTTTTATTATGTGGGAGTTTCCGAAAATAGGGGACCCCAATATAGTACCCTAAATAGTAGGATCCTTTTTATAAGGACCCCCAAATAAGGTACCCCCTATTTTCGGAAACTCCCATGTAGCTCCTGATCTGAAGGTTTGGGCTGTGGGTTTGCGGTTCAGGGTCTCGGTCAGGGTTAGGTTTACGGCATTGGGTTAAGAATAGGTCGTCTGTTCTTCGGGTGAAAGGGTTGGGAGATTATAGCGTTTGGGAGTTTAGAGTCCAGAGTGTCAAGACATGGTTGCTTTTGAAGTTTGTCTTTGGTCTTAGTCGGCATTTTTTCAACATGATGCTCAGTTCTTACTAACAGTAGTGGGTTTGGAGACGATCGCCATCTATAGGAAGACTGCGACCCGCACTCGCACGCAGAATAAGCTGTTAACCAGCTACTTTATGGATAGTCTGCACTCAGTTAGCAAGACGGGAGACGGGCCCCTCCTTACACCCCCTGCAGTTGCTGGCCCAAGCCGATGGCGATGACATTACCCCTGATGCGCTGAAGCCCCGAGCACGGTAGCTCACACACGCGCGAGAACGTGAGCCCACAACCTAGTGGATGGCCAGTTACTGTTGATGATATAAATTTTGCATTACCTTAAGGACCATAAACTACCTAGACCCTCCATCTACCCCCTATTAGACCCTAAAAGCCCCTTATTTGGGACACTATACCCCTATTTGAGGGTACAAGGAGGGTTCTGGTAGGTATATTCCTTATTATGGGTAATGCAGGATTTATATCATCAACCGTTACCACCACCAGAAAGAGCTCCCGAACGAACCTAAAACCGTCCGTCCTCGATGATGGCGTTGGCTTGCTTGTACTCAGTCATCCTGGCTCAAGAGGTAACTCAACTCTACTGGGACCCTGGGAGGAACATGGCACTTTGTGACTACAGGGTTATGTATACCATGCAACTCTAGTGATCATGATGACGAATAAGAACCCGAATCAGGGGGCTCATAAGCGTACTTGTTGAGTTCCCTGATCCCTCGAGTACAACCTGTCTTCTCGCTAATGAGGGCGCTTTTCGATTTGGCTAGGATCAAGAAAATGTCAGCCGCGTGACTTCTGAGTTCTTTTCCTATTGAGGTTCAGAATGACACCAATCAATCGCTGCTCGGGCAGCATGGCCCTAAACCGCAAGCCAAGCAGGGCACCAGTGGAGCACAGAGAGCCTTGTACAACCGAAACCCTGCACGACAAAGCGGCAGGACCCTCAACGGTCCTACAGCCTACGAAAGATACTAAATCCACCTTGCTGGTAGTAGGAGCGAAAATTCCCGAAGAAATGAAATTTGACATCCTACCTGTAACCTATGCAGTATCCTCCCAAAGGAAGCCCAGACGCTAAACCAGACGCTAAACAACCCTGATCATCCACACCCCGTAACCCATCGTAACCCCCAACCCTACACCCCAAATCCTGAAACCCACCAAACAACGACAAAACCCCTAAATCCTTTCACCCTTCAGTCATTACATTCAAAAGCCCGAACGTAGGTACGGGCTCTTGGAATAGGGTTTGGGGATTACTTGATTCCAAAAGTACTCAGCAACCCTGAGGAGTACGATTCTAGTTTCTAATCGTTTAAGGCCACCACAACCCAGCATCCGTAGAACCCGCACTAAAACCACTAAGTTGCAGAGCAAAATGTAAACCTAAAATGTAGCACTCCAAAACTCGAAAGCCATCCTCAACCCAAAAATCCTCAAAGCCCTTAAAGCAAGGCTCATAAACATCACTCATGTATTGCGTAAAACTGGAGCCCTCTTCGAAACGGAATCCCAGTAGATTCCTGAAAGAACAAGAATACCAGAACCCTCCTTGTACCCTCAAATAGGGGTATAGTGTCCCAAATAAGGGGCATTTAGGGTCTAATAGGGGGTAGATGGAGGGTCTAGGTAGTTGAAATTTCCGGCCTGGTCTGTCGGGTCTTTCGGACCTGCGTCAGCCGATTCTCAGCCTCCGTGCGAGGGCGCTGACGGAGTTTTTATGCTGGCTTTTCGAGGGGGGAACTGTTGAGAACTTTTCTTGTGGCCTCAGAGAAAGGGCCCAGAGACTCAAATATCAATTAATTAAGGAATATATAATTTAAGGTATATGCCTTCATTAAGGGATATTGGAGTCTCTGGGGCGGGAGGCTTCGGTTCAAGACGGCTCAGGACTTGGGGCTGGCTCGAAAGGTTAACGGCTGGGCGAACTATGGTCAAAGTCGGGCACGTAGTTGAGGAGAAAAGCTACTATAATAGTTAAACTCGAAGGCTTAAGACTCAGTTGAAGGGACTGTTTAGGATTTGACGCGCCTTGCGCAAACATCCCTGATCCTAGACCGCATGTGTTCTTGCTCAAGTTGGCCATCCGAAGGCTCAAAATACAAGCAGGCAACCTAGATGAAGCAGAACTAGCGACCCACACATCTTTCAGTTCCGGATTGTGGTGAGAACTGTGGCCATAAATTAAAAACCCTTTAACCCTAGATAAGGCGTTGCCTGCATTGCGAAGACTTCGGCGGCTTCAGCTGCCCGTCGCGCCTGGAGTTCTGTAGATCGAATGGACGAAGCAAGCACCCTGCAACTTGACTGAGCACAACAGGAGATAAAGCCAAACAGCCAGTGGCATCGACACAGCTATGCCGTGTCACCTGAAACCTCAGGCAAAACCCTCCCAGCTTCGAGGTTTAGGAGTTTCGGGCCTAGAGGGCTTATAGCGCTTATACAGACCAAGGCTCTACTATAAGTACAGGGAGGCTTGTTTGTAATAAACATCCTGCACACCGCTTACCTGACCGAAACCACGACGTGTAAGCAAGGCGAAGCGAACAATCTCCATGCCCTGGGAGACTCTAGTTTTTAGGAATACTATAAGGGGTTTAAGGGGTTCAGGCTTAAGGGCTGGGCACGCAGTCGCAGCCGGCCGCCCTAGCATCTTTTGCTTCTAAAACGGGTACACAAGACCTCAAGACCGAACAAAGTAAACTTAGACGCTTAACCAATCAACAACCGTAAATTAAAGCTTAAACCCTGCTAGAAGCCATGTTGATATGCACAGAAGCCCTTTGGCGAAGCGTGGACCCGACCCAACACAAACCAACAGACCAAGCACAACGTCTTTGGGCTATGGCCGTGGCACCTCTTCGATTTCCTCTTCGCTTGCATTCTGCTGGAACAGTGCCTGTGCTCGGGGCCCATTGCGCTTTAAGGGTTTACGGTGGTTGGGTTCAGATCAGAATAGGGTTTTTTGGGGTTCCTCATTATACTTTGGGTATGATATTACTCCCAAACCTTCTTCTAAACATTAAGGCCCCTACATTGTTACGCTGTAAGACTATGAGGATTGGCAATTGGGCTCAGGGCTGTTGATGCTGGGGTTCGCCGTCTGGGGCTTCAGGCCTGGCCCCGGAGCACCAAGCTTAAACACCAAGGTTTAGGGTTTAGGGGTTTAGGGTTTAGGGTTCCCGGAGCACCAAGCTTAAACACTAAATTTCTTAGACCCTCCATCTACCCTGCATACCTGGGCCATATATCCCTATTGAAGCTGTTTAAGGGAACGTATATTGTCCTGGTTGACAGTCGTGTAATAGAGGGGCCTTAATAATTAGAATAGGGTTTCGGGGCCCCTCATACTATAATTATGACAAGGAGCCCCCCAAAATAGTATCGATAATTATTGAGGCCCCCATAGTATGGGTCAGTTGGAGCAGTCTCGTAGTTGCAGCGGTTCACGTGGATGAAGACAAAAACACGAGCGATTTCGACGTTTGGCAAGTCTTCGTGGCTTGTAGCTGCATCAAGTTCAACGTGTTTCTTCCTTTGTTCCTGGCAGCATTCACGCTCCTTGCCGCAGACATGTTGACTTCAACCGGCTAGATCCATGACTCCCCTGAACCCAAGAGAACCATGACTTGAGCCGGACTGGCTAGAGTATGCTGCTTTCTGCTTCTAGACGGTTCTGATCTGAAGCTTTTATCGGATCGTTGTTCTAATTTGCCGATGATGACGATGATGGACATGAAGATAAACATGATGGTGATGGTGGTCATGACAATGACGATGACCACAGGGCTGACAACTTCTGAAACGAGCGTGCGTGTGCTGCCCTTGCTGCTTCCACTTCTGTCATGGTTCCACATCATATCGGCATATCGCTACGCAGTGGCGGCTGATACGAACCCTCGCCGAATGAGCTATCGATAGCGCCTTCGTCATTATCTTGCTACGACCATCCAGTTGGGATCCTTTTGTGTAACCAGCACTTATACAACCGTAGTCTTAAGTTAAGATTCTTCCATCCGCGAAACCTTCAAACCCTAACCGGCCCTAACCCCCCACCCCAACCTGAACCCAAAGCTCTAAACTGCAAACTCCAACACACCAAGACACTACCCTAAACCCCTAAACCCTATAAAAACGCCAAACCCCTAAACCCTAAACCCCTAAACCCTGAACCCTAAACCCCTAAACCCCAAGACACCAAAACCCCTGGAAGTCGCTTGCAGCCCAACTGCCGCATGCGCAGCTGCTGCCCTCTCAGCCTCCTCTCTGTAGCGCTGGGCCTGTCTCGGCTTGAGGATTTAGAGCCTTTAGGGTTAAGGGTTTTAGGGCTTTAGGGGTTTAGGAGTTTAGGGTTTTTAGGGTTTAGGGGGTTTAGGGGTTGATAGGGTTTAGAGGGTTTAAGGGTTTATCGGGTTTAGGGGGTTTATCGGGTTTAGGGGGCTTCAGGGTTTAGGAATCTGAAGCTTTCTTGTGGGTCAGAAAAAAGCACCGAACCAGGGGCCCCAAAAGTAGTTCCTTTTAGGGTTCATATTTCGAATTCTATAAGGTAATCCCAAAAAGGAACTACTGTTGATGATACAAATCCTGCATTAGCTTGAGGACCCGTATCTATGGGAATAATGGTATATTCCTGATTATGGGTCATGCAGGATTTATATCATCAACCGTAGTTTGGGGCGTGTCGGGAATCGCGATGGCAGCGGCGGCGGAAACCCCGGCCTCTGGGTAACCGACCACTTTGTGAGGGCTCTTAAGAAGAACCTACAAAGAGGGCTTCGAGAGTTTAGGGTTGAGGGATTCGCCTTCGGCCTTGGGTTTAGGGCTTCTATAGCTCAGGCCGTAGAGTGCGCCTAGGCACGTCGAGAGTTCAAGGATTTCAGCGCTTATAATTTATAATGCTTCAGAGTCTACAAGAGTTTCAGAAAAGGAAACAGCGCGAAATAGGAGACCTATAGCTATAGAATTGGTGTTTAAAATGCCGATATCAGCGCGCCCTAGGAGGACTAGCAATAGAATTAGTGTTTAAGATGCCGATTAAAAACAGTCCCCGGAATTGCTTCTCATTAGAGCTCTGTGTTAAACAATAAAGAAAATTTAACACCTGCCCGAAGCCCAAATCGATACCTTGTATAGAACTTGTTTACTCAGAGATTCATTCTCGAGTTCCGCGCACCTCCAAGCCAGCCTCCTCGAGCTCCCTCTTGAGGACCTGAGATTCAGGAAATTGGGGCTTACGGTTGGGAGTTTACGGATTAAGGTTCCGAGCTTATTTTCGTTGTTTTGTTTTTTGTCAGTGGTTTCTTTCGGATTTAGGGTTTATAGGGCTTTGGGCTTAAGGCTTTGAGGTATCGGGATTGTGCTTAGGGAGAGTTTAGGGCCCTGGGTGGACTTGAGGGTTCTGAGGCCATTCTGAGGGTGTTGGAAGGGAGCCTTGCTTGCTTCATTTAAGGCTTCCAGGATGGGTTTAGGGTTTAGGGTTTAGGGTGGTATGTGAGGGATTGCGGTTTACGGGCATCGGACTTCTGAAAGTTGGGCCCGAACTCTGGCATCAGAGCTCTACAGACCTGAGGGGTTTGAGTCGGGGTGATTCGGTGGTTTCGAAACGAGGCACTGGATGACTCCGATGGTTTCAGGGTGTCTCATCGTCGTCATCGTCATCGTCGCCAACGTCGTCATTATCAACATCTTTATCGGCATCACTGCCGGCGGCATTGTTGTTATTGTCTTTGGGCATCGAAATTTAGGTGACGGAGCAGGACGACAGCCTCGCCGTTGCTCTAGCCAATGATGTAGGTTAACCAGTACACAGCATTGGTCCCTGAAAGCCAGGCAGTCATCTTCAAGTTCTTAACGGGGTGGGGGTCCACGGTGAGCTTTCGATTTGGAAGTGCGCCAGGAACGTGCAAAATTGCCCATAACTGCAGGAGGCCTCCACCACGCGGAATGCTTGAGCATGGTTCCTGAAAGTACTAGCAAACTCGTGCGAGTCTCAGGAAGGGAAGCCCTCAAAAAGAGTCTGCGTAGTGGAGCTTGCAATGGACATAAGTGATGTAACTACTGCTGAATTTGGGATTCCCCGTGCCCTTACTGGAAAATGTGAACTTTACACCCCATCATCCCTGAACCGCAAGTTCTGCATCCAAAACCAACACACTTGTCCGGGCCCGGCGACGCGCTCCTGGTTGATCTTGGCTGTTAGCTTCCCAAGGCCTTGGGCAGACATGGGCAGACGGCGACAAATCTCTAATGGTGCCCGTAGCGAAAAAGGCGGATGATCCTTAATCCATGCTCAAGCTTTTTGTAACGAGTTGGCTTAAGCCGTCCCTGCAGACCTGAACCAGGCAAGCTCGAAGGCCCACAGCAAAAGCCTGATTGTCGAAAGGGCCCCTATATGCTCATTTTGCCTTTGAGACTGTGGGCCACATGACCAAACTCCGAAGCCTAAACCATCCATATGCAATGTCACTACAAATTCTTGGGTCTCTTGTAGCAATCCTAAGTCCGCTTCTTTGCGATGACTGAATGCACACCCCCGAATCACTAAACCGCGCCAACTCAACACCTAAACCCCCTGAACTGCCCCCCAAACTGGCACCCCTTGAGCCGAGTAAACCCTAAACCCCTCAACCTTTATGCTTACTACAAACGACAACTGGGTAGTTGTCAAAATTATGGCCCCTTTGTGGATACCCTAAATATTAGGTGCCGTACTATAATACGGACCCAAAAAGAGACCATGATTTTGATAGCCACCCAAATGTTTTAGGATGTGGTTGGGGTTTAGGATTCATCCTGCTTCGTCGTAAGTATTTTGAATCTGAATGGGGAGGTGCATCCCAGACATGCTAGTCATCCATTACAATAACAAGGGCCTTCATTAAGGGATTCTGAAGCTTCTCCCAAGCCCTGAATACTCAAAAATTAAAAGCAGAGCCCCAGCTTCCCTGCATCAGCAAACTCTTCCCGCCGAAGAACGCAACATGTAGCGCTTCTGCACATCGGGGAGGACGTACTTGCCCAATCCCGCCTGCCGTTTGCTTTCTTTGGAGTTCGGGGTTCAGGGCTGAATCGATAAGCACCCTTTCTGTAAAGGACACAGTACAAGAATTCTTTATTGAGGGGACCAGGACCCTCCTTGTACCCTCAAACAGGGGTATATGGTCCCAAATAAGGGGCATTTAGGGTCAAATAGAGGGTAGATGGAGGGTCTAGGGAGATGCTCAATTTCCTTAAACAGGGAACGGGTCTGTATTGCGGTTATCATCATCAAGCCCTCAACACCCAACACTGCCGAAGGATGCTGCTCACCCTCGTGTCCGAGGCTCCCACGGCCATACGACAAGTTGCAACACCCCACAGCATCCCAAGGCCGAAATCTGTGAAGATATGTTATAGGGGTGGTTGTCAAAATTAGGGTCCCTTTTTGGGTCCCGATTATAATACGGCACCTAATATTTAGGGTGCCCATAGAGGGACCCTAATTTTGACAACTACCCATCTATGCAGGAACGAACCCAGAACGCCAAGCCAAAGAGGCTCCAAAGCCGGCAAAACAGCAAATCTGGCAAACCAACCGGGACCCTCCTTGTACCCTCAAATAGGAGCATGTGGTCCCAAATAAGGGGCATTTAGGGTCTACTAGAGGGTAGATGGAGAGTCTAGGAAAGGGCCCCCAAACCTTCATCCGACTTTAGAGTCTTTAGTGTCCCCCAACACCAAAACCTAAACCTAAACAAAGCTTATGCCGTACTTACCCTAAACCCTAAACCGCCATAGTCTGAAAGGTAGAACATGGCGTGGCATATGAAAGCTACTGATATCCAAAGCCTGGGGTATCAACCCTACACAGCTCCCCAAGCCAGAACTACGCCTCAAGATTACTGAACGTCCTTTCCAAACCGAAAACCCTCTCATAGCCCACATAATTCCATCATAAAACCCGAGACACCACCTTCAAGAACACCCTCCAAAACGCCCTTTAAAGGAGGCCTCTTCGAAGCGCTGCAGCGTGCTGTCCAAATGAGGCATAATGAGACCTCGGTCTGGGTCTTGAGGCTTTCGGGTTAGGGTTTATAGGTCTTGGGGTTTTGGGGGCTTTCTGGTTAGGGTTCATAGGGTTTGGGGTTTGGTTTTTTTAATGCAATACGCCCCTTTCCGTCGTAGCGACGGTCCAGAGTGCTCCCCTGTAGGGGTTTGGCCTTTCGGGTTTAGGGGAGGGCCTGGGGTGTAGGAGGCTTGTGGCATGTTTTGCTGTTTTCTCGACCTAAATCCTCAAGCCGCAGCTTCGAGAATACACACCCACACATTGCGGCAAGGACACCGACACTGGCCAGCATCTCTCGTTTTTCATCTGTGTCGACTTCCTGCGGATGCAGGGCTTGCGAAGAGCACATCGAGAAAAAGGTGTTGTCGATGCAATAGGAACGCCCATAGTCGTCGCGAATACTGTGCCATAGTTGCATGTCTGATACGCACCAGCCCCACACACTTCAAGGTCAAGCAATCAGGCTTCCTTGGCAAGCCTCCTAATTAAACCCCAACCCCAGACATGCACCCGAAACAACCAAGTCGACAAAGGCACACCCAAAGCATTCAGCTCTGCAGTTGCCTTGTCTGCCAACTTGTTGAGTGCTGCCATCTCTGCCTCTTTTCGCCTTGTCACCTTGCAGACTGCTCTGAAGCTCAGGTTGCTCTTGAGGTGGCCAAGGGTTGGGGCTCTGACTGTTCGGGACCACCTACATTCAAGGGATTTTGTTTGTGCAGTTCAAGTTGGTAAACCACATACCCAAGGGGTCCATGTACCCAACTAGTATATACTTTGGCCTCATTAATGTAATCCTTATGTAAGTACTCTAAGGACGAAGTTTCTACTATATGGGCACATGGAGCCTAAGGGATACAACTTTAGTCATAAATGGCAGGGCTCACAGATGGAAACAAGACTTGCAACCATTGACCCGAGGCAGGCGACTAGGTTAAACTCTACAAACCTAAACTGTAAAGTCGATTACAGCTTCATACTAACCCTGGCGGTATATGAACTTCAGAGCCCGAAACTTTGTTCAGGCGCATAGCTTCAGGTCTCATAGCATGCAGCCTGGAAGTTGGTTTAATTTTAAGGAACTAAGTTCAAGTTGCCATAGCACGTCTTGTGATTTTGGTGGCAAGTGAGCCCACCCACATCAAACTCGGCTCGGACTTGCAGCTATGGAAAAACACCATCGGCTCCCAAAACTCGGATGTGTCCAAGACACCTTCCTCATGTGCGCCGTCATGTAGATCTCCTAGGGCAGGGACGGGGCACAGGATGAAGATCTGGGGTCTGACAAACCTGTGTATGACGGCGGCAACATGATGACGATGGTAGTTACGGAGGAAGTGCCGTCGATGCTGTTGTCATGGGCATTATTGATGGTTGTGGTGCTGGCGGTGGTGATGGCGGTGGTGGTGAAGATGATGATGGCGATGACGATGACGATGACGATCGGTCATTGCTGGCCATGGTGAGGCTGAGGTTAATGGTGTCGAGGATGACGGATCAAATGCTCACAGCGCAATAGTTGCGACGATGACGACGATGATGGTCATAGAGGGGTAGTAGTGGTAGTAGTAGGAGTAGTAATAGTTGTAGTAGTTGCTGTTGTTGCTGTTGTTGTTGTTGTTGTTGGGATTCTGGGCGTCTCGACGCCTAAAAATCAGCTCGGACCAACCGACACAGCCCGGGGCTATGAGTCCGACACCCTCAACACCAAAGGCTGGCATCCTTAGGGTTTAGGTTTTTTGTTTGAGGACCTTTTTCCAGCTGCAGTACAGGGTTTCGGGTTTTAGGGTTCAGGGTTTTTTTGGTTTAAACCTGAAGAACTCGAGTAGGGTTTGCGGTTTTCAACGGCAGTTAGATACATTCTGGGCTATGCCAGTTGTACACAGACGGAACTGCACTTTTACAGACTCGAACACTGAAAACTCGGTTTGCGATTTTTGGCCGCAGCAGCTACCTCAAAAGCTCAAGGCGAGCTAAACCGTTTTCGGATGAGCATAGGCCTTCTGGTTCCGGGCTTCAGCTTCTTATTGCCGTGGTCTTCAAGGTCCGGGCACCACAAGTTGAAGGGCACGACGCCAGCCCCCAAGTATCCGTTTTTGGGCTTGGGACCCCATATCTGCATTACAGCTTGGTAGCATTGAGAATGGCATCTGGGCCGGTGATGAGCTGCGCTGCCTTCTTCACGACCCGGTAAACCTCTCTGCGGACGGCAGGCACATGAAGGCACGCTACCTCCAACGAGTCGTCCGTAAAGCATGATCTACATGATGAATACCCGGAACCTAAACCTGGCTGGCAACAGAGCAAACTGAGCAATGCCATGACGATTTCGATGCTCAGTACCATCTAGTTATTCTGAAAACTAAAACGAAAGACAGACTTACAAGGAATGTCAGAGTTTGCTTTTACAGGCATTCACATGCAGCAGCGATGTGTGCGTGTCCATGCCCAGAGAGCACATTTGCATCCTCCCATCTTTCGTGCCTGCCCATCTGCATGTGCACAGTGACTGTATCTACAAGCAACGTATTTCATCTTGTATAAGCCCATACCCCAGAGGGTCCATATATACTACCAGTATGGAATTAGATCCCAAAAGACCATCCCTATTATGGCTTTGGGGGCCTGATTCCATAATGGTAGTATATATGGACCCTGTAGGTAATTACCGAGAAGAAATGACTCAGAAATGACTGAATGATGCCTCACCAAGGATACGCTCGGCAACAGCAGCTGAGAGATGGTAAGCCCTAAGTTGGCCCACAACCCTGCTGACGCTTTGTGCACCGTCAACCTGTAGCTCTGCACAATGCCAAGAAGGGCCTTAATAGTTTAGAATAGGGTTTTGGGGCCCATTATACTGTAATTAAAATAAGGAACCTCCCACAATAGTATAGGTAATTTTTAGGCCCCTTTATTATGTCGCCCAGTGGTGCAGAGCGATGCCTCAGCATAGCGTGGCCTTTGGATGGTTGGGGTGGGAGTCCACCTCGCCCGCACGCGTGTGCGTGTTTGTGTGTGTGTGTGCGGACACCGAGACGCAGTGATACTCTGCCACCCACCCTGAAGCTGACGAATTCACGAGTCAAACCCCGAACCCTTACAAGACACGTGAAACCTTTCAACCCTTACCGGAAGTCAGAGTACGCTCCTTCTTGGGACCATGATCCAGCCTGGTAGGCCGGCACACAGGGCACCGTGAACATGAGACTGAACCTGGAATTACAGGTTTAGCATTGTAGGGGCTTGGGGTCTCGGACGTTTAGGGCCTTCCTGGACCCCCAACTACCCCCTAACATACCCTAAATATCCACTATTAAGGACCATAAGGGCTTTATGAAAGGGTACTTGAGGGGTCCTGGTTGGGGTTTAGAGTCAGAACCCCAGGTCTGGTGCTCTGGCCGAAAGCTAGATGCCCCCGTGCAGCCACGCCACGCCAGACCAGTGATCACTGTGTTCACACGCTCGATCATGGTGGTGTAGAGATATGCATCCTCGCTTGGGGGACTCACTCGGCGCTTTCCCAGAATACCAGTAAATAGGCTGTTATATATAGTTATAAAAATACAGATACGGAAATATGATATGCCTTCATTGTCATTGCGTAAATATGTATCGAGAGTCCAAAACCCTAGCCTACTCAAGATATTCCTGTAGTCAGACACAAGCAGAAATCCCGAATTCAGATTTCCCCGGAGCCCTAAACCCTAAAGCCCTAATGAAGATCTAAGCGCGAACCCCAGCCTTCAGAAATCCCCAGGGATCGGTGTGCCCTCACGTCCTGGTGTTGCTCCAAAAGCTCCTTCATCACCTGAGGTCGGCGAGTCTCCCCAAGGGTCCATGTGCCCAAACAGTGTAGACTTCGGCCTCAAAGTACCTATACAGGGACTACTTTTAAAGCTAATTACTTATTTAGGTACACGGACCCTTCGGCTGTGCATGCTTTTAATGGGTTTGAGTCTGCGCATGCTAGCATGAGGTCACCAGCGCAGAGCTATCATGGAAACACGCAGTCATCTCGCATCACCGCATCAGCACCATCAGCAAAATCATCATCACCACCATCACCATCTCTATCATCATCACCCTCATCCCGAGCCATCACCTCAATCCCTGAAATCAGCCACAGAAAGCCCTAGGTGCATGTCCCAAACCCGCCCTAGGCCCTAAACTCTCAGCCCCAGGCTGCCGACTCCCCTGAAGACTCTGGGCTTCGATGACTCCCGGGGTCCGAGCTTTGAGTCCTGAAAAAACCATTCCCCTAAGGGTCCATGTACGTAAATAGTATATACATCGGGCTTAAAGTAGTCCCTATAAAGGTACTTTGGGGAAAAATATATACTATTGGGGTGCATGGACCTTAGGGTTCAGTTTCTGCCGGAGTCGCAGCACACCACAAGACCATGAAGAGAACTGTCATCAGGATCGTCTCCTGACTCCAGCAAACACTGAAACCTCGCTAGCCCAAGAGGCATCTACTTAAAGGATCATGGGACTTAGTAAGTAGGGTTATAAGTCATCTTGAATCTGAAGCTTAAGCATGCTCGAGACAGCCTGGTGCCTTGTGACCAGTGCCAGGGACGTAAAAACTAAATACATCTTCAAATATACATGTGTAAGCATCTGATTATACATACATGAGTGTGTATCTGTATGCGTACATGTATATGTCTTTTTTGGTATGTTCAAGCAACCTCTAAAGCTGAAGCGTAATTAGTTGGAGAATACATGTCCGGAGCATCCAGGTGTCTTGATGGTGTAGTCACTCCAGGCCGCAGCATGGGCGGGTAGGCATGGGGACCCTTATGGGTACCACGGCTACAACATATTATGTACGTATCGTTGTGCACGCGTGCATGTATAAAGCTGTGCCGTAGACATCGTGAATTTCCGCCTTAAAACCAGGCTGAGATTTTGTCCACGGTATTAGGCCTCGGGACCTGTCAGGTGTGAAAGAAACGCCCCCCCCCCCCCCCCCCCCCAAACGTCGAGGAACACCCACATGGGCCATGGACGAAGCCGCAAAAGCTCACCCTGAACCCTAAACCATGAAGCCCGTACACCCTCAAACCAAAACCCTAAACCCGCGGACGCTAGACCCCTAAACCCGGAAACCCATGAAACCCGGCCCTAACCGCTAAACCCCTAAACGCCCTGAACCCTTTGACCCTACAGCCCCGAAATTTCAATCCTCCCCTAGAGGGTCCATATATACTACCATTGTGGAATTAGGCCCCCAAAGCCATAATAGCAACCACCAAACCGCTCCGTCTGCACGACCATCTGAGACTTGTAAGGCCGGAGGCAGACCAGCATGGTGACATTCCTCAGCCGAAGGCTCGAAGCTCGGATTCGGGGGGGAGGAGGGCTTTCTTGGTTCCTCTAAGGGAAGTTTTTCGGGGTTTAGGGTTTTGGGGTTTAGGCTTTACGGTGAACTTTCTTTCCCTGTTTGCAGCGCGAGCAGTGCATGCTTCCAGGTGGAGGGTGCAAGGTTGCAGGCCCCCCTCCAAAAATAAACCTTCAGCTCAATGTTCACGAGGCAAGCACATCACATGGCTTCTTGTCCAAACCCTAAACCCTAAACCCAAACCCCTAAGGAACCTATCAGATCTGAACCACAAGACCCCCGTGCAGAACTCAGGCTGCGGATACGAATCCAGAATTCTCATGGAGGGCTTCTTCTACACGAAGGGGCTCCTTTCAAGAAGCAGCCCTCTTACCTTAACCCACCAGAACCTACTTTTAACAAGAACCTACAAAAAAGGTAGGGTTTATACTAGGTCTAGGTAGGCCCTACTTCGAAACTCATCCCTCTGCCAGCCAGCGTCAGTGCAAAGATGAGCATCTGACACCCGGCTCCAATCACGACCTTGTGATCCAGGCTTTACTCATTGCTCTCTGGGACATCAGGTTTCGAAAACGGAAGGAGTTCCGGAGATAGAGGCGATTCAAGCGACTCCCACAGTGCTCGAACGTGGCGCCGTGCCCTGAAATCCTACTTGCTGGTCCAGCTTCGTGGATGTTGCAAGGTCGCGGAAACCCTTGGCAAGCTACCCTAGACCGGCATCAACCTACCACTGGAATCCTCGACAGCGAATACATGCCCCGAGACCTGGTGCTGCATGCGGTGCACAGCGGAAGAAGCTCAAACAACAAAAACGGTCACTCCAACCAGCATCTAGCTTGGAAAAGGGAGCACAACACTTCCGGTTCCATGAGTTTTGATCCCTGCAGACTGCCATAGTCCTACACCCGGAACCCAATAGACTCACAAGTGCTAAACCCTAAACCCCATAACACTGAAAATTCTAGCATTCCAGGCCCGACCCTGAAACCCATAACCCCAAAAAGCACCCTATCGCATCCTTTCTCCCTACCTGGACTCCAAAAGTATGTAGAATAATGGCCTTTCATAGGTGTTGGGCCCTTATTTTACCTTTTTGGGGTCCAAGAGGCCAGGTTGTTGCTCGTGAGCTTGATGGCAGCGTTGGAGAGAAGATTCCTGTACCCGAAACGTGTACTGCAGAACTAAAGGCTGTTTTAGGGTTTAGGGTTTAGGGTTTATAGGGTTGTGGGGTTTGGCGTTTAGGGTTTAGGGTTTAGAGTTTGGGGTTTGGGGTTTAGGGTTTAGGGATTTGGTGTTCAGGGTTTAGGTAGCCCCAAGCTGGGCTTTGGGTAAGGTTTAGATAAAATCAGGGTCTGAAGGTAAGTGGTGCTTTCCTACGAGTATCACGAAAAATATTCCCCAAGCATCTATTCACCAGTGTTGGTGGGAAGCACCAGGTACTGTCACCATCTCTATATCGGTATCTATATAGGCACATACAATACCGAATCTATGTGTATATAGGCATGTATATGCAAAACTCTATACTTGTACGACTACTTCAAATTCGTAAAGATCTAGCACAAGCGTGCACTGCCGGATATGCAGTGCGGCATGACTGGTGAAAGAAGGTCAGGGTCCTGAGCATCGTGTTCACCAGAAAGATCCATCCATACCTGAAGGAAACAATGGGCTTGCTGGGGTCAGGGCTTGAGGTTGAGGCCGCAACGTCCACCCCCCCTCCATCCAGAACGACGCTCTAGCGAACAGAGGTCTATGCACCGTAACAGCATATCACAACCTGCTATACAACACACTGCCATGATGCACGCTTGCTTAATCTACATCGCTGTTGCAAGACACATCCTAGCACAGCAAAACACAACATCATCATGAGTCACGCTATGACAGGTATGAATTACTAGTACATACTGCAGCATACATTGGTATATCAATATCGACATGACATGCTACAGTTCGAGGCAGTAGAGTCTGACCTAACCATCAGCAAAAGACTGCACAATTGCCCCAACGCAAGAGAAAACACGAAAGCGACAAGCGACAAGCAGCGACAAGTCTCAATACACTAGTGGCGTTATTCCTCTGAGCACCTGGGTTTCTTCCTAATCACTTGTCTTTAGGGGTTCTGGGAGGCCTCATGTGTCCTGCAAATTTCTATTCTCTGACCCAGCCTCCCCCACTCCCCAGCGAAAGCCGATACCCATGAAGAACCCCAAGGGTTTGAGGTCCAGGAGAGATAACCGCAATGGTTGTGTACTCAGAGGCCCCGGGAACTTAGTGAGTATAGGCTATAAGTAGGTTGTAAGTTGTAATAGTTACCCCTTTTATCATGACCATGCTTATAACCTACTTACTAACTCCTATGGGCCTCCAGGTAATAGACTGTACTCCAATGCGAAACGACAGAGTCTGTCTGTCTCTGTCTCTTGTCTTGTCCTGTCTATGTGTCTGTCAGTCTGTCTGTCTGCCAGTTTGTCCGGTCGCATGTACGTTGGCATGGATGCATGCATGCATGCAGGCTGCATTGATGAATGCATGCTTATACAGATCCGTCCTTACATAGGCTATTACCCCCTATTAGTAGACAACCCCCTTCCCCATAGCAACTCCGATCCGATAGCAAACAGAGCGGCGTGAGCAGGTTACCATCCGCTTTCGTCGGCCAGGTCTTCTTCTGCAAGAACCTCGGCTGCCACGGCCATGACTAGGAGGTTCAAGGGTTTGAGGCTCAGCATGCAAGAGACGTTTGGACTGCGTGACGGGTTCGGCATCAGAGCTGCCATGCTTGTTTGTGGTTGTTGGGCTTGGTTTGGAGGTTCTTGGTTGCAGGTTTGTCGCGGTTATCACTGCATTAAGGGGAGCTCTCGAAGAGTCCAGAATTTCCCACTGACTCAAGCTGTGCATAACAAACGTGCCAGAACCTACAATGAGCATGAGCATTGATATCTGTCCTGTCATCCCGGAAGCGGTGTGCCGAAGAGAACTCTGAACTGGTCCTGAACCCCAAATAACCTACCTTTTTAGGGCTCCTTATTATGATTTCTTTATATAAGTCCTTGAATATGTAGGTTCTTCGGGGTTTTTGGGTTGACCTACCGGTCGCAAGCCGTGTCAAACAAGAGGCGAAGGGCTCCTAGCCAACCCGGAAGGTTGAAAGGGGAAAAGGAAGGACCCTTAATGGGGACCCCTACCCTATATAATGGGTATATAATAGCTATATTAAGGGTATATACCTAGGGGTCCTTATTAAGGGTCCCTCCTTTCACCCTTGGAAAGGTTGACATTCCAAGCTGCATCCTATCGCTGCGCGCCCTCCAAGTCTACCTATAGTCTCCATTGTAGTTCCTTTTTTTGGTTAGCCAAAATCTCTATTATAGGGTTGTAACCATAAAACTGGTTAACCAAAAAAATGGAACTACAATGGAGACTATAGGTATGACGCATGTTGGAAATCAACTTGCTAGCCCTGTCGATGCAGAGTGTTTAGCTTGAAACCCTCAACACTACATCGCTAGGACCAGCTGAAAAAAAGACTAAATCCGTCTTCCCCTCAACCCCGAATCCAGTTCCCGGAAACCGCCCTCTTTGACTTACAAGCCTCCTAGCCGCAGATACCAAACCAATCTGAACCCCGGCTGTTACCTTTCCGCACCCCAAACCCTGAACCCAAAACCCTATAAAGCCTAAAACCCCTATAAATCCTAAACATCCGGGCCTGCTAGAATAGAACCCCAAGCAATCCGGACCCACACTGGGGCCAGAGTTTCAAGTCTTGTCGGAGATTTACGGCTATTGAAGGCCACCTAGGCTCTACCATCGAAACCCTACACCCTACCAGTACCCCTGAATGGGGCACTTATGGTCTGTATTCGTGGGTATTTCGGGTATATCAAGGCGTCGTTGGGCGGGGTCTACATCCCTCCTTGAACCAAGCGGCTTTTTCTTGGCCTTTGTGATGGCCAAACGCTGCTGCAGGCCTGGGAAGCCACACGCATCGAAGTCTTCCGGATTTTGGTTCCATAAGTTTTTCCACGCCTCAGGGTTTAGGGTTTAGGGTTTAATAGGGTTTAATAGGGTTTAATAGGGTTTTATAGGGTTTTATAGGGTTTAGGGTTTTATAGGGTTTAGGCTCAACCATAAACCGCGGCTTTGACCCCAATAACTTCGACTGAGGAGTTTTTCGCATTGGAAGCCCCGAGAGGAACCAGACAAGATGCAGCAAAAGCTGTGTCCAGACACCCTTTGCTCTGATGTTCCAAATCACAACCCCTTCTTAACACCCGAGCCCTAGAATCGTGAACTCCACGCCCCTAAAGGCCTGCAACTCACAACCTTGAACCCCGATCCAAACCTGGCAAAACTATACTGAACTTAGAACCCTAGCAACAATTATAAGTTTAGCCGCTTCTTAGGGTTTATAATAACTAAAAATTAAAAACATATTTCTAAGTACGCCTAAGAAAAGCCAACATCAGCCATCGGCTTCTGCATCCGACTTTGGTGAGGTCTGGGTTGGTGTCGCTTTGGGCTTCGGGTAGAAAACTTCGGAGATCGGCTTGTGAATTAGGGTTTAGGGTTTATGGGGTTTAGGGTTGAATTCTTGAGAGCCCAGACTCAAAGACAAAACTTCGAAGTCAACCCCAAACCCTAAATCCAGCCCTAGACCCCAATCTCATGCTCTTAAGGCTTCTTTCATGTCAGAGTGTGGACACAGGTTCAGGTCGAAGGTTTACGCTTAAGCCTTCCATCCTAAACCTCAAAACCCTAAACCCCGAACCTCAAAAGTGCTTTAGGGCGTAGGGTTTAGGGAGGCAGATATGAGGTCTAGTGCGGTTGAAGGCAATTTTGCCAGGAACATCGAAACCCTACAGACCCTGAACCTTATAGATCCTATAAACCCTAAACCCTATAGACCTTGAACCCTATCGAAGCTGGAACCAAGACCCCGTAGACCCTAAACTCTTTAGGACCCTAGCCCAAAAGAACCTCATAGTCCGAGTTCCCGGCCATCTTGGCCTAATTCGCTCTCCTTCTGTTTCCTCAGTCTGCCGTGGAAGGCGAATTGGGGTTTGGGGATTAGGGGTTTAGGAGTTTAGGGTGTAGGGTTTCGCCCCGTTCAACATGGTGTTTGATACTTTGTGCATTCAGTATGTCGGGTACCATGATGTCTAGAATCCACGAGCCTATCGCCTCGACCCCCCGAAAGGCCACAGAGCTAGCTTCAAAAACAATGAAGCACAACTCTCAAACCGACGAAATCGAAAATTCCTGCCTTGCCCGTCAAACGCTAACCCTAAAACAAAGAATCTTTGGTGTCAAGTAACACACCAGAACTTTCTCATGGAAAGGTTCAGAAACGATGGGTCCCTGTTTGATTTAGGGTCTTGCTTGGTCTCTGGTTATGATTCTTGTCATTGTTTGTATAATGCGGGTTTCATTCATGTGTTGCTTGTTTTTGAAGAGAGCAGCGAAAAGGGCGCTGCTCCTCCAGGCCCGTCACACTGGTACCTAATTAAACTCTACCCCCATCCCCCACCCCCGCAATCCCTTCCCCCCGAAAAGAAAACCAGCGGCAATGGAGAAAGTGCTACCCAGGTTCTCGTCTTGTGCCCGGCCATCTGCGCGTCCGCCCAGCATGTCTCTTGCCTTAGGATTATGCTGCAAAATCACTTACGAGAATCTTGGGACGTTGTTTATGAGGTTATCAGGACCCTTATTATTTGAGATATCAGTCATGTTATTTCAAGTACACAATTAGGAGCTATAGCTGTACCTGCCCTACGTGCAACGGTTGTTGCTACGTCCCATGGTCCTGTGTTTCGACCAACTTACATAATGCCACCAACCCTGAACCCCCCAAAAAAAGAAAAACAAACAACCCAGGAAGTGCACTGAACCCCCGAAACCTGCAAAAGGGCCATTGGATGAAACCTTGACGAACGGTGATATGAAAGAGCTCTGCTTGGAGGATATAGGCAACTTCACTGGTGTTACAAGTTACTATAACGATAACTATAGACTTGTATGTATCTGTAGCTGTGAAGTCTCCTGATGCTCTAAGAGATAGCTCTTTCAAACCTACATAAGTGTCCAAATTAGTCTAAATGTATACGAGAGCCCTGTGCATGAAAGGCCCATGCAACCTAGACGAGCCTCAAAAACACTCTGAAACCGTCCACTGCCCAGGTGCTCTCGTCAGAGCCTCCCGCTCCTCGAGCTTTTCTGCAGAGACGTCGAAGGAACGCACGGCGCAAACATTCCTTGGCTGGCGGGCTTTGGGTGCTCCCGGGCTTATCGGGCTTAGGAAACTGAAACTTGTTCATGGAGGTTCGAGGGTCTAACGTGTAGGTCTTAGGTCTTAGGTACTGCCCCCTTACAGTAAGAGTCTATAATAGGGCTACTATTAAGGTCCTCATATATCTATATTATGAATATTATTCAACTATTACTGAGTGGGGGCCGTACCCAGTGCAGTTCTAGCTTTGTGTTCCCAGCCGCAGAAGGCTCCATCTCTGGTCCGTTGAGGCCTCTGTGGCCTTGGACTTCGGCCCTAATCCTACAACCCCAAAAACACCCTGAAACCCTAAAACCCTGCAACCAAAAGAACTAAGAAACCGAAACCCTAAACCCTGAACCCTAAACCCTTATAAACCCTACAGCCCAATACATACAGCCCTTGAAGCCCCCCCAAGACAAAGGCACAGGACTGCCGAGATATCAGGCTGGGCAGTTCGAGATGAAACATCTCCGGATTTCTAGGTTATAAGGGTAGTTACTATAGGGTTCGAAAAAAAGGGTTCCGTTTAGGGATCTGCAGGGGTTCTATAACGGGGATCATGGGACTTAGTAAGTATAGCTTTCCGGGCTTGTCAGTTACGGCTTCGGGGCTTTCGGGTTTTGAGGATATATCCCAGTCGATGATGCCCGTGAAATTTGTACACCTAAAGTACGCGGAACCCAAATTCCAGAACTCAAACAAACTAAACCCTAATCACTAAACTCTGAAACCTAAGCTCCCTAAAGCTTCAATCACCTACAGTTCTTCGATGGCGATGTTTGTTGACCCAGTGTCTCCATGACTCGTGCGCGGACCTCGGCTGAGTAGCCTCGGTCAGGGTGCACAATGCTATGGCTGAGGGTATATGGGGTTGTAATGGCTAAGGTTAGCGGTTTGAGGGCTGTGCGGTACAATTACTTAGCGATTTATGATATAAATCGTGAACTCAGGGCTTTTGATTCAGGTGCGCTGTGAGTATACTCTGTTTCACCATACTTTGGTTTAAACGGGCTGACCAAAGTCGTATACAGTACTACACTTTGTAAAAAAAGCAAAGAGACAGGTATCTCACCAGGTACGAGTATGAAGACTTCAATTCTACTGTCCGACGCTCCTTCCCCCTCAAAACCCTGGGGATCAAAATAGCCCAAAAGCCTTAGATTGTATGGTCTTCGGGCCCAAAAGCCTTCATATATGAGTCCTTAGATCCCCAGGGAAAGTTTTGTATAACCACAAGCCCCGTAGCCATCTTGCTACCCTAATTCGGCCTTTTGTCCTACTACAATAAAACGATGTAGTTCGACTACAACACCACTGCATGAATAGGATGATGACACGATACCAAAGCTGTAGCAGCACGATCGCAAAACTATAGCTATAACAGACTAGTGCACGGAGCCACCATGTCAATTTACGTCGAAAGGGATCATGGAACACTGGCCTGGATAGTCAAATTCGGAACTGAAGCCCCAACAAGAAGCTCGCACTTCCAATCCGTCAAGAGCTGGGGTTGGGGATTTAGAGGGTTGTGTTTAGTGTTCGAAGCCCTGACATGCAGCATGACCCTGAACCGCACCTCGCTGACCAAAGGTTGAAACCTCCACCATCGCGACCTGTGAAGCGAATCATCCCGATTTCCAGAGATTGGGGATTTCAAGGCATCAAAATCCAAGGCATTACGTGGTGTCTCGGGTTTGGGTACCCATTGACGAAACAAACAACGCGGGGAGTAGTGCTGGCAAGCAGTCATTGTACTCAACCACCCTGAAATTCCTGGCCAAGAGAACCATCATGACTTCGGTTCTCGCACTTGCGGATTGAGTCCGAGGGCTTCGACGTACCGTTCAGGGTATCACCGTGCCCTAACTCAAACCTCTTCAGTTTGTTCTGGGTAAGTGTAGGGTTTAGGGTTTAGGTGTTCAAAGCCTCCAGAACATGCCCAGGAACTAGAAGCTGTTCTTCGTGCTAGCTCCATCTTTTACATACATGTGGTCGCCTTGAATCACTGAAGATCCTGTACCATTCAACGCAGCGCATGATAAATCGTGAATGTGTAATGTCCGGCAGCCCGATAATGCAATTCAATTTGCACTGGCTTGCACCTGCCCACAAGGACATAAATCTGAAACACCGAAAACCCCAACACCCAACTATAGACACGAAAGCTAATCCATAATTTCGACGACTCCGAGGCACATAGAAGGGTATCATCCCTCGATGGCGGGATCCCTGCTGCCACTGGTAACCTCTGTGCTCACTGCTCGATTCTGGCTCGTGGAGCTAACATAGAGGTCTTAATAATTAGAGTAGGGTTTTGGGGCCCATTAAGTAATTTATGATTAAAATAGGAAACCACCGGAATAGTATAGGTATTTCTTTAGGCCACTACACTACCTGTCGTCATCATAAGCATCGTCATGTTAATTGTCGGCATGCGGGGTCAGCAGCTCAGGTGCAGATGTGGGATGACGGTGCAACCAGCGTACTTGCAGCACCAAAGCTACGGGACCGCTGCAGATGTGCAAATCCGGCATTTTGTTCAATACGCTGAGATGTGGGGACGTACTCCATTTTCCTTGTTCTGGATGATGTAGGCAGTTTGCCATGAGACACTTCCAATAGCGAGATCTCGGCCCTAACCCTAAACCCTCCATTGTAATTACTGTCCAGGGTATAGGGTCCAGGGGTCAGTAAGATGTTGGCAGGCAGCTGCACCAGATGCAGTAGACCAGCCAACTGAAGCCACTACCTCAGGTGCTCACAAAGGTTAGGGTACGTCGTCACTGGAAGGGCTTCTATAATGAAGGTGTTTTCGGCTTAGAAGTTTAGGGCCTGCTTATCCAATATCCTGCCCATTTTCTTGCAACATATCTCTCCGTGGTGGTCTGAGGACTCATCGTTTTAAGGCTTTTGTGCCCTAGGATCATATACCCTTTGGCTGACTTGAGCCTTAGTGGAATACGTCTTCCCAAAACCCAAAACCCAAAAACCCTCTGGTAAGGATCCTTAAAACCCTCAGAACCGGGGATCCGGGAGCACACTGTGCCCCCGGCATCGGAGAAAGGTCAATCTACTTTGGCCTTGAAGAATGAAAAAAGGGGGTTTCCGAAATATAGAGGACCCTAATTTAGTACCCTATTTAGTAGGATCCTTATTATAAGAACCCCCAAATAAGGTCCCCCTAATTTTCGGGAACTCCTATACAGGAACAGAAGTAGGCCAAAGTACACACAGTGTCTGTTTACATACATGGGCAGCCGGGTTGATGGACTCTCTGATGCCATGGCGCTGAACACCAGCATGGCAAAGCTTCCCACGCTAAACATTGTCATAAACGTCGAGTCGTTCGTACCTCAGCGACGTGTCACAGTTTTGGGGCTGGGGTTTATCCGGGCGGCTTGTGAAAAGATGGTATATATGTCAGGCAGAGGGTTGAACTTCACGTGGTGATTAAGTTGTCACATCGTGGCGACATTGTACATACATGAGATGCTGTCCTTACAATGGTAACTTGACTTGAGTTTCTTTAGCAAGAACCCAGAAACTATCTCTACACCAAGGTTACTGAAACCAAGGTAACCCGCAGAGATTTCGAACAGAGAGGCTGCTCATAAAAAGCTAAGTCTTCCACCAGTCAAAGTCGCAGAAGACGCGGCACGGAAGCCCGAGAGGGAACTAGAAAGCACGGTGTATGACTGAGGACATAGAACTGCCTATATTTACTCGGTTTCCGGGGCTTGCGAGTAGCCATCTAAAGTAAGCTCCGCGACCTGAAGACGTGTCCAAACCCTAAAACCTAAAGCTCTGAAAGCCTTCCGGGTTTAGGGTTTAGGATTACCCGAATCAAGCAGGTGTAAATCCCAGGTCCTCAACCCTGAAACGCGAAACCCTGAGGTCATGGCTGCAGAAGACGCTGGGTACATCTGAGAGCACGTAGATCCCGTCCCCAGCGTTGATGCATGCAAAGGGGATGAGAATCGTATCCAAGTGGAAAGGAAGCCTGGGTTCTTGCTAGGGTTGTTGTAGCGTTCTTCAAAGGCTTAGGGTTTGTGTAGGGTTCTGTAAGGGTTTGGTGTTTTTTTCGGGTTCTGCAAGGGTTTAGGGTTTTTCCAGGGTTTCTAAACTCGGAAAACTTGGTGGGGTTTTGACAAATCTTTTTGATGATTTTGTAGGGGTTTATAGGGTTTCATGGGGGTTGACATTTTGAGAGTTTCTACATGAATTCCATAACTGTCGTTGGCGGGACTCAATACGGTGACTAATATATGTGCTGAGGAATCCAGTCACTCAAGCCTCGATATTGCTCGCCTAGGTTCCCTAACATAGGCGGTCTAGTAATTAGACTAGGGTGTTGGGGTATGTTATACTATGATCATGACTAATAAGGAACACCCTACAACAGTATGGGTAATTTTATTAAGGCTCCTATACTACCCAGGTCGCGTTGCTAGGACGGGGGGCAGAGCAAGGAGCACCATGCAGATGCACCGCGCCCAGGCGTTGGTAAGCAAGGCCTTCTTGGTCTGGAAGGCCTGCAGACAGAAGGTCCAACAGAATGAGCCCGAATCGTTTTAATGGTATAGGGGCCTTGATACTTCGAATAATTAGGGTTTTGGGCTCCTTTATAGTATAACTATAATAAGGATCCTCCAAAACCATATAGGTTACTATTTAGGCCTCTATAGTAAGGGCTTTCATAATGTAACGTAGGGCCTACTGTATCATACCGACCTGAAGGTTTACAATCGGTTACAAAATGGTTTTGGTGTAAAAGAAGCTGCTGTACGGTTGAAGAGAACTCATAGAACAAAGAACAATATAGTACAAATTACTGAGTATCCAGGCCCCTACAGCAGGTCCGTCTCGGATTGAAGGCAAGAAGATCGCAGAACCTGGAAACCCTTATTAGGCAAGTCGGACTGTGAAAAAAAGAAAACATATCGGAGGTCTGGTGGCTGTTGTCGGCTCCTCCTTGTACGGTGGCCGAGGCAGGCGATGGAAGCATCACTCCAAACCCCACAGCCGGAAGCGCAACCCTCCGCAGCCGTCAGTCAAACACATGGGTCCAAAACCTTAGGTCCTCAACTGGAACTACCTGAATTTAAGCGGTAGTAGTTAGAATAGGGTTTTGGTGTGTAATCCAAAACAAGTGCGACAAGAAGCCCTGAAGTATACTAGTAGCATTAGCTAAAACTACCAAAGACAGCGTGATGAGGCTACTATTACAACCGCTCACCACCGACGACCATCATCTGCATCATACGACGAAAAGGCACAGACGGGATACCTACATGGGTGGACAGTATTGCCAAATCCAAAACCGTTTATTGCAGGGGCCTCACTCAGTGAATACTGTACGATATCTGCAATCAGGAACCCAAAATATCGTATTGAAACCCTAAACCCTAAACCCCAAACCTGAACCCCCAAACCCGAAATCCTAAACTCCGAAACCCCGACTCCGACCCCTACACCCTCCGCCGGCCACCTCGGGCCCCAGACCTGGCAAAGTGGCCATCAGCGCCATGATGTAGGCGGCCGTGAGGGGCATGATCATGAAGTAAGGGATCACCTTGAGGGCTTGGCGGCTCAGTGGGCTAGCGGGGGTTGAGGGGGTTTCGAGCTGCGATCATGATGTAAGGGATCACCTAAAGACCTGTGGGGTTCAAGGGGTTAGGGGGGTTCAGGCGGCTTGCAGCTAGAATCATGAAGTGAAGCAAGGGATCACCTTGAGGGGTTCGGTATTTAGAGAGTTTAGGGCTTAGGTGCTTTAAGGGCTTGGGGATCAAGGCTTCGGGCTTGAAGTGAGGGGGTGGAGGGCCGTTGGCTCAAGCTGGGGGTTGTTATGCACAAGGCTTGGTGAGTACATACTTGCAGAGGGTCCTTTTCCGCAGGTACGGTTGCCCTTTCCTGTAACCAAAACCCCTAAACCCTAAACCCCTGAACCCTAAACCCCTAAACCCTTAAACCAGAAGCACTAAAATCGGAGGCCTCAAAAGGCAGACTCTCGGCCTTGACGGAAGTGAGACCGAAACCTTCGATGATCCGTCGAGTCCAAGGCACGAGGAACCCCAGCCACTTGTTTATGTATGGCGTCTCGGCGGAGCACTCGGGAGCAAAGAAGTTGAGATTGAAAGAGAACCTTTCATCCGGGCTTGAGGGCGACCGATCTTGGGATTGCTTGAATGGAGCTCGGGGCTTGCTTTCAACGCGTGTGGTTTGGATCTGGCACCTGCAACTCGAAACCCCAGGGTGCCTAAACCTAACCCCCAACCCTCAACTCCTAAACCTATGCTTTGAGACCCTCCAGCTTGGATTTCAGGCAAGCCATCAGGGGCCACCCGCAAGATGTACCGCTGACGTAGATCTCGGAACCCTGGTTCTGGAACTCTCGTTCTTCGGCCATGAGCAGTAAAGGGTTCTCACATCGAAGCATGCAAAATATGATGATTCTTACATGGACCCGCCCTACCCTAAAACCCGAAATGCCCAAGAAGCATCTGTGCGATCTTCACCAGCTCCGTGAACATCGTAGGCCACCTCAGTGCAGCCAGGGTTGTCTAGGTTAGCTCTCTAAGGCTTGGGGGTTAGGGGCACAAGAAATTGCGGATTTAGGGCTTGGCATACTTATAACTATACTGAACTTAGAACCCTAGCAAAAATTGTAATTTTAGCTGTTTCTCAGGGATTATCATAACCAAAAATTGAAAATTATTTCTAAGTACCCCTAAGATAAGGTAAGGCTAAGTAACGGTTTGGGCACTCAAGATTTACTTGTAGCTTGGGCTTCAGGGGTTAAGCCTCAGGATCAGAATAAGCTCTTTTGGCACCTTGGTATTAAGGAGCACAATACACCGGCCTTCGTATTGCGGATGCTTTCCCATCTCACATGCTCGCTTGGGCCCGAAATGATGGGAGGCCAAAAGGGGGTTTAAGATTCTTGGGGTAGGGATTCCTTAATATGAACTCTATTATGGGAACCCTAATCCCTACTAAACCCCCATAGGCTAAAACCCCTTTTGGCCTCCTATGAATATCGAAAATAAGGAACCCTAAAATAGTACCCTAAATAGCAGGATCCTAATTAAAAGGACCCCAAAATAAGGTACCCCTGATTTTCGGAACCTCCCTAAACCCTAAACCCTTTAAAGAACCCTTATAGATCCCTTTAAGGAACCCCTATAGGGCTCCTTTAAAGGTCACCCAAATTAGCCCGAGGTGCTGGAAGTCGAAACCCGAGACCTTCGTGAAGGACGTGAGGACGCCCAGCATGACCTCACTTGGAGGATCATGGGACTTAGTAAGTAGGGTTATAAGTCCCCTTATTTGGGCTTATAAGTAGTTATAAGTACTGTTACCTTACCCTATGCTTCCAAGGACCTTATAATTAGGGCCCTAGACCCCTCAAGGACCCAATAATAAGGTCCCTGGAAGCCTAGGGTTAGTCATAACCCTAGTTACTAAGTCCCATGATCCTTCAAGTAGGAGTCACCAGCTGGCGGGTATTCTACCGGCCTTCTGGAGTCAATATAGCAAAGGGGGCTTCGAGGGGGGGGGGGGGGGGGGCGGGGCATATTATCTTTACTATAACTATGGCTATAATTAATGATTAACCCTCAGGAAGAGTGTTGGGGTGCTTCTCGGTGCTTCTGGCCACTGCTGGGTTACGTAGAACCATTGCCAAGACAGTCCTGGTTACTGCAGTTGTTGCGCCTCCTGTTTGATATGATTACCGTCAACGGTTATAGCACCTGTAGCAATATTATCGTTGGCCTGGGCGCTTAGATGTTGCGCAGTCGGTCTCCCCCCCTTCTGCAAACGACGGCCAGGCTGTGTTTAGCGGCTCCATGCGGCTCTTAGAGTTCAGCAACAGTAGGTTTCACTTTGCCGAGCTTGCAACAGGTCATCAATCGGCTCGTAAAGAAAATTACACCCAGCAAAACAATCCGGAACAAACCCGTGTGACATCCCAAATCATGAAGTCTGGGGTTTGGGGCGTTGTTTGTGCGTGCTTGTGTTTGGCACCTATAGACGAAAGGCAAGCGTGCATGTAAACACATGTGTACTGTAATTGTACATATGAAATGCGCGCATAGATTCAGATGCACACATCCATGGATCCCTCCAGCCATTCATGCATCTATCCATCCAGGCATTCATGCTCGCATGCATACATACATGATTGAATGCGCATTTCTACATACATTTACATAATACATATGCATACAGGAAAGTGTACATACACACACACACACACATGCACGATCATTTACACATACGCATACATGCGCATATGCATATTCATGTACATATGTCAGATGTGCATATGCAAGCATAGATGCAGATTCGCATACGTATACACATGCACATACACCCACAAACATGTACAGGTGCATGAAAACTGTACAAATACATATCTATGTGGATATATCAGTATACGTGCACATGTACACATACACATACACTTCCAGATGCATCGCGATATACATGCAGGAACATCACGAAGATGTTGTGCTGCATGCGGGGTTTAGGGCTTCAAGCAATGGTTGCGCTTTCGGGTTTGGGGTGTTGCCTTTGGGGTTTAGAGTTTTTGTAAGTTAGCAGGGTGAAGGTAAAGGTTGTTGTTGATGCTCTGTGATGCTCCGGGTGTAGGGTGGGGCCGTTGTTTTGCCTGGTAAATGGTGCGCAGTTTCAGACATGTCTGTTCTCGGTTCAACTTCCATGGATGGTACTCAGGACGCAAGTGGGCATCTGCCTTGAAGGCAGGGTTGCGACTCAGGGATCGAATCTTGGGTCCAGGAGCTGCAGCGCCCGGCTTCCAACATCGACTCAACAAAAACGGTGGAATCTCGAAATTCGAAACCACAACCCAACATTTCCCTCTACTGAACCTGAACTACTGAACCCTAAACCCTAAAAAGTAAACCACCCCTAATGTAACAAAAAGCGACGCACCCACACTCCAGACATCCGAGCTGCGACGATCATCTTCCGGTCGTCATCAAAGTTCACGCCCTCGGCAGAGCGCCCCTCCATCTCCTGCAGCACTTGGAAGTTCAAGGTTTAGGGTTCAGGGTTTAGGGCTGATGATTTAGGGGTTAGGGTTTAGGGCTTATGATTTAAGGTTTAGGGTTTGTGATTTAGGGTTTATGTAGGGGGGCTAACAAGAGCTCTGCGATTGGCCGAAAGCTTGGGACATCTTGGGACTCTACCAATGGGCCAAGGGGTTCGGGTTTCAGTATCCGGCGAGATTTTCCACCGTCGCTTGGGTGGAGGACCCAAGCCAGACCCTTCAATTTCAGGGAACCCGAGACCCCTGAATGTGAAGGCCCGAAGTCCTTATACTATTGTTCTGTTCGATTCTATTCGGTTAATAATCTATTGATTCTATAGTCTCTTCTACTATACTATAACATGCATGTTCTGTCATATCATAGTGTTTTTTGAAATATTATCGGCAGAGGTCCTGCTTCTCCTGCTCTTTTGACTTCCTGGGGGCCGAGAACGTGAGCCGGAGAGGAAAGCGGCACCTCGCCACGCTTTGGGGCTTTGGGGCTTTAGGATTTGAGGCTTGAAGGGTTGAAGGTTTTTGGGTCACTTGGGTTTAGGGTTTGGGGGTTCAGGATTCAGAGCTTAAGGATGTCAGGAGGGTCAGGGCTATCGTCATGCTTTGCCTCTCAAGGCTTCAATTCTTACGGCATTCAACTTTCATGAAGAACATGGTGGCGTTCAAGAAGGCTTCAGATGGGGGATCGTGGAGAAATTGCTGAAGTTAGAGTGCGTGGGATCCGTTGAGGGAGCATCCACACATGCAGTTCGGAGTGAGGTGATTGCTCGGGTCTGTATGGAAACTTTCAAAAGGGAGGGGAACCCTCAAAGAGCCCGTAAGCCTGTCTTCGAAAACTCCCATGTTTGTGTTGACTATAGTAGGGATCCTTGAGGAAGGGGGCTGGTTTCCCAGGGATCTACATGACGATCCAGTTACTTTTGAGCAATGGTCAAGCGACAAGGTTTTGAGGTTGTGGAGATTTTTAGGATGACGGTAGTAAGCTTCTACCTATATTACAACTAATCTCCATTGTAGTTCTGTTTTGGGGTTACCTTTTAGGATCCTACATGCAAAGTTCGTTAAACCCAAAATAGGGACTACAATGCAGACTGTACCCATAGTCTCCATTGTAGTTCCTTTTTTTGGGTTACTTTATCGGATCCCTAATATATAATTGGTTAAACCAAAAAAAGGAACTACATTGGAGACTGTAGGTAGATGGAGCTAGTGGGACCTCCGACTGTGGAGTCGCGGGGTTGAGCCGCCCAAGAAGCCTGCTACGGTTGATGATATAAATCCTGGGTTCCTTTAATATAAAGGGATCTATAAGGGTACCTTGAAGGGGTTCCTTTAAGGGTTTAGGGATAGAAATCCTGCATGACCCATAATAAGGAATATACCATAATTCCCATAGTTTAGGGTCCTGAAGGTAAGGCAAGATTTATATCATCAACCGTACCACACCTCACAAACACACACAGAACCCCAAACTGCAGAATCCCAAAGCTTTCAGATAAATCCATATGGGGGTTTCCAAACATAGGGGACCCTATTATAGTACCCTAAATAGTCGGGTCCTTATTATAAGTTCCCCAAAATAAGGTACCCCTAATTTTCGGAAACTCCCATACAGGGTTTGCTATACGACCGGGCTAAACATCAGTTCCACTAGTTGGTTGTGGGGCTGCAGACACGACGATACTGCAATGCGAAGGGGTTGCTTCAACACAGACAGTGACAGACCGATTTAACAGTCGTCATCGGCAAATTGTCGTCTCCATGTCGGACCCCTGAACTGCGACACGACGACACTGCAGCGACGAGAGCACGGACGGCGAGACAACGATTTACAAGTCATCATCGTCATTGTCGTCGCTGTCCCCTGCACCGCTGTTGTTGCCGGGCACGAGCTCGACCTGCAGAGTAGCCAATGAATAATCACAGTGCCACCAGTGCGATGTTCAGGCCTCGGCAGATCCAGGCCAGGCACGCACGGCCCCTGCACTGAGAAGATGGACCTGGGCACAGCACCAGGCACCAGGCATAAAGCTGCTTCAATCAATCCTGCCAGCAACACGGCCTATTATTAAATTATTGTGAGGATGATGAGCCAGGGCTCCGAAGTGGCAGCGTCAATTTCCGGCCGAGAGGCCCAGACTACAGAGCATTAATAAAGTATCGATCATACCAAACAAGGCACGCTGCAACAAACACCGACGCAAGCTTTGGACAGACCTGCGCAAAAATTATCGAGGTCCACGGCAATGTTTCGGGTTGGATTGTAGAACTTACAGCCTGGACGCCATGTCCTTAATCGAACAATCACAAGACAAAGGGACAAAGGGCCTCCCCATCGCCAGCCAACTCATCCCGGACATTTTGCCAAGACCATGCCCGACAAAGCCCCCTTTCGGGAAGCTTGCCAGGCAGGTCGAGGCTTTTGCAGGAGTCGGTGCCAGTGGACGCATTAGGCGCATGTGCCCCACTGTCATACCTCCGGGCCTAGATCGTAAAACGATCATCGGCCACGTCGGCGTGGCCTTAACACCGCGGGAATGGAACCACGCCTGCACACGGCCAACCGTGCATGTGAAAACTCCACACCCCCCTCGGGGGCTACTTTCCACTGGGTAAGCATCGTTCCACTGGCTCGTATTCATGTGACTATCAGCAAGTCATGCCACAACACAAGACAAGCGGCAACGGGAACACAACGCAATCTCATGCCACACGCCATGCTGTGCCAAGCAGTCTGGCCAGAATCATGCACAGACCAGAATACTCACCCTGAGGGATAGCTGGCCTGCATTGAGTTGGGAAGTGAAAATACGTTCAGAGAAGCACAATGACAATCACTGCCATAAGAAGGATCCGACGAAAAGCTGGCCTGCATTGAGTATTGCTTTTCGCTTTAATTGGTTTTTAGGGGTTGGGGCCTAGATTATGCAACCATATTGTTTGAGAAAAACTATTGAGTAGTGGTATTGCGTATAACACCTAAGCCCTAGTTTTAGGGTTTAGTTTTTATTTCATGTACAGTTATCAGGATGGTTGAAAACCCGAGAATGTCAAGCCTGTTGCTGAGTGCATGGCATATCCTTGGCTTTGCCGTCATCGACCTGGGCAGCCAGACCAATGCCCAGACCAGCCAAGGATCCAAATCCGAAGATGAAATCACAACCCATGGATTAGGGTTCTGGGTTATTTGTAGCTCGGGCATCAGCACGGCTTCCGGGGTGCAGGAGGCTGTAAGTGTATTTAGTTCGGGCTCAGGCTCTGAGACGGTACAGGATTAATGACAATGAGGAAGATAAGGTATCCTGCAGGTCTCTTTTGTTGTGTGGAGGCTGTACTGTATAACAGGTTTAGATTAGGGCGTGATTCTGGGTTTATTCACTGACTGGGATTTTAAGTTTCCAGGGTTTCAGCACTCAGGGTTCGGCTGGGACTTACATTGAGTGGCTGCAGGTCCGAGGGCGAGGGCAACTTACATTGATTCATGCAAAGGCATTGACAGTGACAGTGCTTACGAATGGTATGCAATGTTCCATGGGACATGGCTTCGGCAGTTCGAGGGCGAGGGCAAGTTGCATTCATGGGAGCGCTTCGGAATCAAATAATTTGGTCAAAGTAAGTATGGGGCCAGTGGCTGCAGATCTTGGTTTGGGACCCTGGGACCTCCAAAGGCTTCATGTTGGTTGGAATGAAAGAGTCGAGAAGGGACTCAGATGGAAGAACAAGCAAGCAGGCAAGCGGCAGCCTAGGGAAACCACATGAAATGTGTTTTCTGATCTAATGTACGATTCCACTGCGGGTTAAGGTGCTTAAGGACCTAAAACCACCCTCGATAAGCCTGCGGCAGCATCAATCAGTGGACCTGGGCCGCACGAAGACTGAGACCAAAACCGCGTTGCAAAACCCCTTATGATTAGGACGCAGCACTAGTAGGGAGCAGTGATTCCAGCAGCAAGGCAATGAAGCAACGAAACAAGAAAGAGGAAGAGCAGAAGTTCATGTTGGAGACGTCCAGCGCGGACACGAAGAAGAGGTTGCCCTTGCCTTCACAGGGCTGCTCGAAGCCTCGCGGCAGTCAGGTCTTCTTGTTCTTCTGGGCCATCTGATGCCACAACAAGGAGTTCGCATCTCCGAGACACTTGCACCATGATCAAGGTCAAAGTGCATGTCTTGTGAAGGCACGCGACCCTGTCAATGGCGACAGACTCAATGTTGTGGTCTCCGACTCGAGTCTCAGCTCGGTGAATTCGTCCTCTTGAAGACAGGACTTCTGACCTGACCATGAGTTATCTGCAGCGCATAATGAAGCCAACTCTTCGACTCAGCGAGAAAATCTTAGGCGAGGCATGTGGCTGCTACTTTACGCTCTCGCAACTCGGACACGTCCAGACGAGGCTGCTACTTTAGGGTTGTCGGGTTTAGGCCCTGAACACTGGTCCGAATTAGAGGCCTCATTTAAGTAACTTATAGTCTAGTCAGGTCTTAGTAGCAATGACAAGCTTGCTTGATTCTTGCAAAACCTTGCTTGCTGTGTCTGCTGGGATTCTCTCCGCAGGCCCAATAGATTCACTTATAGACATAGCCTTGAGAAAGAAACAACTTACCATTCCAACTGTGCTGGACATTTATGAGGTCGAGGACGAAACCGCAAAATTATGAAGTCCAGAACAAGCGCATCCGAAAAATCCCTGGATGTCCCTGCTCCTTGGGGTCTGGCAATGTCAGCAAGGACCAGGGCAAGCAGCTTGGTTCTTCATCTCGGACCTCAGTCGGCTTCTTGCGCCTAAACATGTCATCGACAATTACAGTTTCTTCCCAAATACTCACATGCGCTCGATGATGCATTAAATTATGACTCCATGACTGACGACGCATGCCAAGCTCGAGCTCTGTGATAGCATTAGGCACATGTGTGACCGAGACAAAGACCACGACTTGAGCAAGTCAAGGGCCAAGGTTCAAGGGTAGAAAAGCCAAGCAGGGCCAAGCATGATGCACACATTCTTACTCATATCAAACACTGTGTGTCACAAAAACATTCACACAGGAACCCAAAGGCGGTATCCGGCAATAACTGACAAAAAGGCGACACAGGACCGGTCAAGGCACCAAGAAACGAAACAGTCAAGCAAGTCAAGCGAGTCAATCGATCACAAGAGGCCTCCCATGTAATATGGACAGATGCGGGTCTCGCCCCACCGCCACATCCACTCCCTGTACTCCATGGTGTCCTTCCCAGAACCCAGCAGGCACATTGGCACATTGCCCTGCTGTCGTCTGCTTCCCAAGGCTGGAGCATGTTGGCCAAAAGCTCTGTCAGACACCATGGTTCCAAGAGTGTGAGCTCCAAACCCGGCCAACGGTTTGAAGGCAAGCCCGATGTTTTTTTTGGGGTTGCCTTGCAGGCTTGCCTCTTGGTAGAGCCAAAACTGAAACGAAGAACAAGCCAAAAGCGACCGCGCAAGA